CTACTGTGTATTCCAAAAACATTGTGCGTCTTTCGGAATTAAATTCTAAAAATATCACGTAAATTTCGTTACAATTTCTCAGAAACGATCATTGCGGGAAATTTGTGGGCCGGGACTAAGATTTTTGAACGATCGATGCGATAAAACGATAGTTCGAGGAACGATAGAAGCGGGAAAATGTAACATTATTTTATATGGGATGTATTCGGGACCGAACAAAACGGACGATGCATCCGGGAAAACGATAGTTTCGGGAACGATGGATAGAGGTTTCACTGTATAGTGATGTTTGATCGTATACATGAATTTTGAGGCAAAGTACAGTTATGGTCTATTTTCAAAGGCAATGTTGAGATGTTGCTTTTTATGCATTTTTCTTCAAATGTGAATGTAAGTCAATCATCCAATTTCAATGGAAATAATAAATGTGTAAAAATATTTTAATCAGGAAAATATGATGTATTAATGAACTCATTGCCACATTCACCTATTTCATCCAGGTTAAGATCAGCCACATCAAACGAATCAGGGAAGAAGACATTGCCATACCCCTCACGACCAACTGTGAAGTTATCCACTACACAGCTGCCATCATCACTCATATGACATATTAGCTCATCCAGAGATGGAATTGTATAATAGCCAACTCGGCGCAATACAATTCCAGTCGGATGGGAGTCCTGACCTTCCATGAATGTAGCAGGTTCATCTGCCTCCAAGCTGTCATCTGAAACATAATAAGCAACACATTTTATACAAATCTTGTAAAAACATTTTTCATTCCACTTGTTCGTAAAATTAAATATATATATAGCATCAAATAAAATGAAGATTAAAACACAACAAATTGGTTAAGGGTATGGAAGGAAATTGTCATGGCCAAATGAAGGGTGTATCCCAGGACTTGCCTGATAGGCCCAAGGAAAACCTGTTAGGACAGCTGTTCTTGTATCTCAGATTTAAACCCAAGACCTTCCAAACACGAAGCAGGAGTGCTTTGATCAGTTGTAATTTACATTTATTTACATGATTAGAAAAATATACTGTAACCTACCAGATGATGATGAGCTGTTGTTGCTGACATTCTCTTTATCATCCATATTTAGGGATGAACGACTGTCTTTCTGTGTTTTTAATTCTGCAATTGTGTTGTCAATAACTGATTCATTGTTCCTTTGTCCAGGACTGAAAAAGAGCAAATATGCAATACTCAATACTGACCTGGCTATACCATATGGTTACAAATAAAACTAAATTTGGTTATGAGAATGCAATTTACCCAGTAGCATAGAAATGACTGCTGTGTACATCCAATTCTGCCCTTAAACTGGGATGTAACCACTTGAACTTGTGAATATGCACAATCAGGATAAATGACACACTAACTATTAACATAATAGTGGACATTGCCTGAATCAAAATAAGAGAATAACTGTATATGTGTTTCAATAACTGGCTACCTTATTTCACATAGCTGCAATGAGCAGCACAAACAAGAAAGTCCTAGAAAACAATAACGGACTGGAATTGAATCAGCTTTTGGTCTAAATTAACAGGAATTTAATCTAGAAGTAAACACAAATAAAACCAAGAAGCATCCTTCTAAAATGTGACAAAGTATCTGGGAACAACAGTAACGGTAACACATCAAAACTGTATTCATGAAATTATAAGCGAATTCAATTCAGGTAATGCTTGCTACAATTCAGTTCAGTATCTTTTGTCTTCCCATCTACTATCTAAAAGTGTAAAGACTTAAAATAAACACAACCAAAATTTGACTCTATGATTAGATGTTTTCGCCCAACATATTACAAGCCTCAGTGAATGTATTTTAAACAAAAGCATTATCAGAAGACAGTAATGTTTTCTCCAGTTGTGATGTGACAACATATCAACTACCCCATAACAGTTTGCTGTTGTCAATGTCACACAGAACAGCACAAGATAGAAATATAACTTTTGTTACTTTGTTTGCAGCTAAGTTACTGACATGTCAAAGAGCAGTGTGATCAACTGGCAATGTAAACTACCTAAGAGAAACCAAGCAGAACTGAAATGATGATCAGAGGATGTCATGTGATGGATGTTAACTCATTAATACCTGGAAGTGAGCTACTCAGATTCAAAAATGTAGTTTTTTTTCTCCTATGCCAGGGAGACATGCAAAGGGTAGCTTAAAAGAACCTTTATAAACTACAAGCTATAAACAGCTCTGAAAGGCAAAACTGAAATCACAGCTGGTGAAAAAGTTACAGAAAAATTTGTAGCTAGTTAGGATTTACTTATTTTAACAACAGTGCTGGAAAAGAGCCCTCAAGTCATGTGACATTTTCCATATGTTCAACATTAAAAATGGACAGTGCCGCTGACTGCTTGCTACAATGAATTTCTGGTTACAGATCATACTCATTCTACTGTGATTTACACTGCACATACCTGATAAATGGAGTTCTTATCAAAGGTGGTGATGTCTCCCGTGCATCTGAAGCTTCTTGTTCTCCTTCAGTTTCTGTTGCACTTTCACGGAGTGATTTACGGAGCCTGCAGTAAAATAATATTAGAACAGCAAATTCTAGAAATGGCTGTTATCACTCAGTTTAAACTGTTACAATCCTGCCTACATTCCAAAAAGCTAAGATATGAATATATGAGGTAATTATGCCAGTTGTTTCATTGCAGTGAAACATGGTCCCTTACTTTGATGGATGAAAGCAAACCGAAGTGCTGAGAAAATATTTGACTCAGGGAGGATGAAATAAATTAGTATTTTCAGATACCGCACAACTAAAATCTGTGATTTCTACAGTTCGCCTACTATTGTGCCTGCATAGTTTCATTCACTACACTACAATACACAAAAGTACACTGTAAAAGCTGACTGGAGAGTTTGTTAAGACATAAATACATAAAAAAATATACATACATGCATGCATATGTATGCCATATAAAATGTATTACACTGTGAATCACTCTGCCCGAGAAGAGATACTCTGTATTCAAGAAACCTGAGCTTACAATTTTTGTTGTTAGTATGCAGATACACTTATGTTCAGGTTAATAATCAAATGATGGCATTTATTTGAATGTTTACAAAATTGTGACAAACTTGAATTCTGAACCAAACTTAAAAAACCATTTACAATTCATGAGATGACTCACAATTTTGACCTAAGCACCTGTTACTCCAGATTATGGCAAGAATAAATGTCACCTCAAGAGAAAATTGTATTCCAATGGAGCATGAAATAATTATAAAAAAATACTTCAAATACATACCATGAGTCTTCACACTGTTCTGGAAGTGTAACACTAGTTTGCTGAACATATTTATTTTCCTTATCAGCTTCCAGTATGTCAGATGGTCCTGGTATGGCAGCTGATGATTGTGCAATTGGTTTTCCACTTGTAGGGGTTGTTGCCTTTGGTTTTAACATCAGTTTCTTGGTGATGGAGCGAGGTTGGAAAGTGTCCAGTAAAGTAGGGTCAGATTCCTCAAGACCCTCAAACAAGGACTTCTGTAAAGACAACAAGAGAATATACTACAAAGCAGGGATTCTCAATCTGCAGCCAGCCAATGTTTTAAACACCCCACACACATATTTAGATGCTCATTCACCCTCATCCAGCATTGAGAATGAATAGAAGCTATGCATCCTCTACTCCCCCCCTCCCCCCCAAATGCCTTCACAACATGTACTGGGGACAGCTTCAATTTAGCTAAAGTACTTACTTTGGAAAGAGAAGATGCTCCAAGTGGCTTCACTTTGATTTTAACATTTCCTCTGGGTGAGACTTTGAAATGGTTATTAGAGACAGCTGCTTTCTGGGCTGCTGGATTTGTTGGTTTAAGTAGCTCATCTGTTTTACCAGTAGCCTACAGAGACACACCATATTATTATCAGTCACTTTCAGGTACCCCAAGTTATATTTATTTGAATAAACAAACAATTCAGAACCCTCTTACAAAATACAGAACTTACTGGCAGGAGATTTCGAAACAATGGAGAATCACCAAACGGCATGGAGGCCAAGGCCAAAATCTGCTGATGAACAGTCCCACTGTCTTGCTGATTTGTTGCTGTGCTAGTTCCAGTTCTGTAAATAACAAAACATTATTTTACCCAACACATGTTGCAGGCCTATGTTGGTAAAAATGAATGTTAGGATTAATATGACTACTGAATTAATTATAATTGGGAATGCAGAGAAAGTCATCAAGACCCATTTTTAAATTTTGGTCAAAGAGTGGGACTGGGGCACCAATGACCATAGCTCCATTCTTGTTTAATTTACAAACAGACCAATTTATTGTAAGCAATATGCCACAAAATGCATTTCTTCCACATTAGTACTTGAATGCTAAAGAAGCATATCACTTACTGTCACTGCAACTTCCGCTTTATAAAATATCCACACAACACATGACACATGACACATCACACTTGCATTTCTTTGTTTACTTAAATGAGTTTTACCAACTGCATTGATCACACAGTAAGAAATGACAAGATGTTCCTGAATGATTAATGAGGAAGGACATGAACATAAGAGGTTATAGACAAGTTCAAAGCAAAATTGTAGTTTTCTCGAAGGGACAGGACAACAACAACAAGACCCATCAGTAAGTAATAAAAGTCTTCAGGCCAACATTCAAACTCAATGACATCTAATATACTGAAGCAGAGTGCTAGCCATTACAATATGATGTTTGGTTCCTCATGACATAATATTGGACCTTCTAAAACCAAGTCATATGCAATGAACAAAATTTACTACAATGTTAATAGAACATTTCCTGTTGAACTAGTCCTCCAAAACTTAAGATGCATCTGACAAAGTATTAACTTCAATACAAAGTATGCCTTGTCTAATGCATCAAACAATATTTAATGTAAAATGGATACAAAAAGCTTCCCATATTCCTTTCAAAATGTGGCATATTAACTGACTATCATCAAGACAACACAGAACAATAATGACAAGAGCTGAGATACAAGTGCAATTCAGATTAAATAAATTGTTTTACTGTAACATGCTTTAAAGCGACGAGTTGCTTACTTTTTATTATATGCTAACCCTCTTCAACACACACACATGGGCCACGATTGGTACAAGCATTAGCACATATTCACAAACTTGGTTGACACTAACCAAAAGAATTATCTTCCACATAGCATTGGTAAATCAATAAAAGAAATACAGTGAAAAATAAGGTGACTGAAATATACTGAGACTCTTATATTGTAAACCAATACAAGCACCTCAGAAATAAGAGAGAGAGAGGAAAAGAAAAAATCTTTCACTGTGATTAACCTTAGCTTCCCCAATTCTCTGGCAGGTAAACAAACCAAAATTCTAAACCTCATGTTTTACTAAAATTAGACTAAACACTGTACATGCAGGCAGACAAATTTATATGAGCCAGCGTGTCCAGTGGGGTGCTACAGGCCGACGCTGAGTAAGGACCGTGGCGGCCGAGGAGCCAGCGTGTGTCCAGTGGGGTGCTACAGGCTGATGTGTAAGCGAAGAGTGTGAAGAGCGCCGAGCTCGGGGGACCAGATAGGCTCGAAGGACAGTGCGAGAGTATGTGTGTGTGTGTGTGTGTACAGGGAAAG